TCTTAGGATGTAACATATTAATACTGTTTTGACCTAGATGATTGCTTTTATAACATACTGTAAGAACCACTGATTATTACAACACATTTTAAATAAGTTCTCTTATGTCATTCAACAGGACTAGCACGCTACATCAAGATTACTTCCACATTGGATATCTCCGCTTCTGGTCTTTCTCTAGATTCCCTGTTCTGGTCCTACATTGTTTCGTTGTCCTTTTTGTCCTTAGCAGCTCCATTTATCTCAATGTGTAGTAAAACTACTATGTACCCATACACTGAAACTTGCAGTTTCCATTTGGAGTTACTTGTTGCATTTTTGGTCTAAGTATTTACAGACATTCATCTGAATGCAATTCTGATTACATATTATAAAGCAAGAAAATATATTTTCGGTTCTACAGGGCCCGCAAGGATGTATGTACTAGGTTTTTAAATGCCAGTCTAATAATGGCTACGGTGCTCTAAGAAATAGTAAATCTTATAAACTGAAAAAGAAAACTACCAAGCTTCAAGCTAGATATTATACATTTAAATCAGAACCTCAGCCAAAAACATGAAGATACAAATAAATAGCCCAGTGACAGGTACAATAAAACCAGATTTTGCTGCATTGTTCACCAGAAATTCCCCCTGCAGTACTTTTTTCCACCACTAGATGTCCTTAGTTTGATTGCTAGAATCATTCAACCCACTTCTTCTGAGCCCAGGTCATCCTGGACCCGCCCCAGCCTGTGACTAGACAGCGAAAGGAGAAGCAGCACAGTGCACCCATCTCTGTCACTCTGCTTTCTCATCCTGTCAGCATATTTCTTGCCAGGGCATGAATTGATTGGCTCCTTGTACTGCTTCTGATGCCAGCTCTGCTGTACAGACTGACAGCAGCTTAAATAATAAGTCTAAAGAGCTTCACTTATTTGTTTCTTTTGTATATGTCTAGAGTTCAGCTTTAAAGTAGAAAAGTGATTGAATGATGCATACATTTGAAAGCACTGATTGGGTTAAGGGCACTTGGCAACACAGGTTCAAAATGTCTCTTATCAGAATCTATTTTACGACAGACTGCACTTGTGTTTCCGTTCCAGCCCGTGCCGCCTGTTTATCAGCAGCCGCAGTCAGCGTCACTTTCCACCGTCACTAAGTAACTAAGAGGTGACAGAACTCTGTCTTTGCTTTGTTTATGGACATAGCAGATTAATGACAGACGAATAACAAGAATATCCTTTGTTTGCAGAAACTGACTCCATGTGTCTGTAATGTAGGTGTCACGACAATGTAAATTAGATGATTCCTTTCCATTTATTTCTATTCATCAGGGCTGGGGAATTAAGGGCAAATATCTTGACGAAAACCTTAGCATACATTTCTCAGGATCAAAGATCTCACAAAATTATGTAAATGCATTTAACTGATTAAACTTCATAGTGAGTCATTTTGATCTTAACCGATTATCCCGTGACTTATATAACAACACTTTTAGTTATAGTGAAGTCTATTCCAGTCTCTTCATAATACCATACACTTGTCCCAAACTTTACGGACCACCATCACAGTGATTGAATAAGTTACTATTATATGCTGGCGACCAGGTAGATAACGTAGCAATATTCTTTGCCAGCATTACAGGCTTATTGATATGTTCTATAAGAACACTACCATTATATGCAATGCTAACTGATAACAGTCAGCAGTGACAGAGAACACAGGTAGGGTTGCCACCTGTCCAGGATTCACCCAGACAGTCCGGGTTTTAAATGTTGTGTCCGGGTTTCATGGCAACTTAAACCTGGACATAAGATGTCAGACAGACAGGGTCAACCAAAATTAAGATAGGGGCTACTGGCCCCCCACTGGAAATAGTCTGACTGTGATATTTACATATGAATAAGCCACGACCCATTCTCCCAAAAAAATGTCTGTGTGTCGCTAGAGTGTTCGAGTTTCGAAGAAAAGGTGGCAACCCTAAACACAGGAAGTTAGCAACTTACAAGATTTCTGGCAGAATCAACAGGGGTTTTTTTATGCACCTGTCAAGAAAATATGACAAATTGCTCTCAATGGTATATTCAACAGACTAAGTTCCCTTTCTCACTATCCGATCAGGAAGGGATCTGTGCACAGATCCTCTCCTGATTGAAGCGCTCTGGATTGGATGTCACCACTGTGACATCCGTGTCCATACAGTTTTTTTCCTCTATCTTGGGATGGAGGAAATCATTTAATTGACAGGACCCCATGTTGGTATATGGGGGATCGGTAGTAAACAGATCTGTGTCCATTTACATAAGATTACCCCCTATGCAGCATGACCAGGTCCGGAGCCAGGGGCAACCGGATCTAAAGAGACGCCCGTCCCTTTAGATCTGGCTGCCCATAGACTTACATTGGGCATCCAATCAGGTCCGCCTGAAAAACTGACAGGCAGACCTTATTGGACCGTCAATCAGAATGGGACCTTAAAGTAAACAAATAAGTGTAGGGTTTACATACACTTTCAAGGATGATTAAATATTTAGTTTTTTTTATATTATGGCGTATTTAATAGCAACTAAATGCACCCATACTTTGCACAGTACAGCACTGCCTTTGTAAAAAAGAAAGTATTTAAAAATGACCGTCATCCCCATCAAATATTCTTACATAACACAAAGGAGGAAGCCATGCAACTTACTCTACATTCAAATCCTTGGTCCCTAGTGGCCCATTTACTGAAATCTGATTAGCCTGAGTTTACTACAGTCTAAGCTTTGCTCTTTAGAAGCCTTGATTTCCATAACTTGCACGCGCCATGGCTGCAAAGAAAAGAGAGAGCAGGAGCGTGACTGCCTGCCTCCAAATGTGTGGATGGGGAGTATTCAAGGACAATAGGTGAATCAGGGTGAATGGATTTGAGGTGGTGGAGGAGATGTTGAGCACTTACATGTGATGGAGAGTAAGGACGCAGTGGTGATGACCTGTGGTGTACTATGGTGGGACACTTCTGATAATGTGGTCGTGGGGACTGTTTTTTTATAACTTTGTTATTAAAAAACAAAAAGACATAAACAGCGCTCTCGGATGGGGGCCCTAAGAACGGGAAGCTAACTGAAAAGCATGCAGCCCTGGGGAACAGGAGGAGAACCTGTGAATGTAAAGCAACAAAGGGATACAAAGGGCGCAAAGACAATAGACCACTAGCCGGCGGATAGAGGATAGGTGAACATCGCCATCGGCAATGAAGCGTCCATGTTCACCTATCCTCTTTCTTAGAGGGTGGATGGTGCGGCCGCACCATCCGCCCTCTAAGAAAGAGGATAGGTGAACATAGACGCTTCATTGCCGATGGCGATTGCGAACATAGTGTTCCCAGACACTTTGCCACAAAACACGGCAAACAAATTCAGGATTTACACGTGTTCGCCATTGAACACATTCCTGATCGGTTTTCCCCAGCAGAGCGATTTCAGAGGTTGTGTCGACAGGAGACTTTTTGGATTTATAGACTCAACACCCTTGTTCCAACAGGACTCAATGAAGAACTAGAAATTCTGACCATAATATAAAACATCACAAACCAATGCTCTTTATGACCATTTTTAGTGTCAGTACACTGGAATTAAAAACACATCTGTCCCCCACCCATCCAGTGTCTCCCATGATGACCAAGGATAAAAGAGTGTCCCCCATGATGAGTAATGAACAATAATGGTCCTGCAATGCATTTTTAATTCATTGATTTTTATTTAATGACTTCCTTTTAAATGTTCTGAGCTTGAAAAAGAGGGGATACCTCGAAACGCGTTGCTCTCCGCCCTCCTTTCCCGTTACGACCTTCATCCCATCACAGATCTGACTGACGAGCAGACATTTCCAGATACCGGCTCCCGCACACTGCCCCAGTCTGCGCTGACAGAGACCGAGCACCAGTATCTATAGCCGCGGCCACAGCTGTTCAGCCTGCATCTGACACCGCCGATTCTCCCTCATACCGCTCAGCTCCCAGACTCACACAGCGGTGCCACGGACTGAGCTCCCATTCCCCCCCTCCTCGCTTACAGCCTTCTCTCCCTTTGTGGATGCACGTCCCCAGGCGTTACACCAGTCAGATTTGGGCACACATCACGGGTGTCCGAATCCTCCACACTGGCCGTCCATCCTCTGGTCCCATGAATTACATGTAAGTGCTTATACATCTATTTTTCTACCACGGTCTGCCAAGTTAGCTAGTGGTCTATTGTCTTTGCACCCTTTGTATCCCTTTGTTGCGTGTCTTGATTCTTGCGTGGAATCCCGGTCGTATACCGATGTGGGAGGGAAGCAATAACAAAGTTCGTCCTTACTCTCCATCACTTGTAAGTGCTTAACATCTCTTCCACCACCTCACATCCATTCACCTTGATTCACCTATTTTCCTTGAATATTCCCCATCCACACATTTGGCGCCAGGCAGTTGAGCTCCTGCACTCTCTTTTCTTTGTTCAGTCTGATACAGTTAGACACCCCGGTCTAACAACAAAAGGAGCCACACACTGGCCACCATTCACCACACCAACCTAGGAGTGCGCTAACCAATCAGTCTCCTGCTGAACTTTCTACAGGCCATGGCTACCAAGCTCTAAAACTTGTATTCAAATGGGAATGAGTGGTTCTATAATTTAAAGTTATCTCTCTTATCAACCAGCAGATTTGGATGCAAGAATGGCTACTGGGTCATAAAGGAATACATTTTTTGATCTGGCCTCTCCTTGTATAAAGGTGCAAACCCATGTTTTGTTTTTGAATACATAAACAATATTTTAAGAAGACAATGCTGTAAAAATCCAGAAATAACAAAAAGCTGAATGGATACTGGGGCTCTTTTATAATACTCTGTTCCCAGACGCAGGAGATAATTATTCTGAATGGAAACACATAAATTGGGCAACTGACAGACCCAGAAGTAGCAATCTATTTTACCTAATCATCTCGTTTTGACAAACAGTCAGTTCACCAAACATATAGCAATTACAGAAATGAATTTACCAGAAATCTCCACTGAACCTTCTCTGGATATACCGAAGAGACATCGGCTTTTATGGATCGAGTTTTCTCCTCTAGGAGATGGATCTGGTTGTATGCTCGGTGTTGCACAGATGGTGGCAGGCACTGGAGATCATTTCGGAACTGATAAGAGAATTAAATTATTGTTACTAAGGGCTATAAAAGCTATAAATCATAACAAGAATAGTTTAAAGAAACATGTTTTTGTATATAACCATCTTATTAGAAGTACAAGGTTCTTCGCAAAAAAAAAAAAATTCCAGTGAATACTGACATTGGATTTCCAGTCTTACATATAAATTCACACACATAATGTCTAAACTCACATTTTAATATGATATGAGGGAATAGATTACTGTGAAAAACACCAAATTAATTATATTTTGTTTTTTGATGGCTTATTACAAAGCCATTTTAGAGCAATGCCCTTTCATCAGATGCCTTGGTATTCCTCTGACACATCAATTTTTACACATAACTATTGTTATAATAATTGAAGTGCTGATCTTGACACTCTTGCTGGTTGCAAAGTTAATTTCAATAAAGCATGTTGTATTGTGTATCAGAGGATCCCGCAACAGTTCCTCGAATACCTGCATCATAAACACTCCACCTATGCTCCAAGCTATGTTTTACATACAAAAATAACAAATGGTAACAATGTTATGGACAACGTGCTGCAAATTGTTTTAGAGATAATAGGGCCAATTCACAAAGCCCAGTGTTATGAGAGTAGAAGTTCTTCTTTTACCACTCTTTGGGGTTCATATGCAAAACTTCCACCCAGTGTATCACCCGACAGTTGCTGTTTGTATGGCACTCATAAGTATATACTGGGTGGACGTTTTATACATGAAGCCCTTTATTTTGCTTGCTGAAACATGCAATTCATAAAAGCTGGAATAGGTATTGTATATCCAGTTTATATGTGATGATATGTGTACATTAAGTTGGTCTTATTTTAACATCACAGCTTTATTTTATCTCTTACCGTGATAAAATAACGCTTTGGGTGTTATATTAACACTTGTGGCATTGTGAGGCAATACCACGGTGTTAGGTGGCCTCAAAGTCACACAGGGTTCTCAGCCAGAGGGGCTGAGTGGCTCCAGGAAGACATTACTGGTACCAGGAGAGAACTGCCTTTTCAGTTCTTTCTGGGTTTTCTGGATCAAGGTTGGGATCCTGGAGCCAGGAGATTTCTTAGAGCTCTGGGTGGGAAGAAATCTCCATTCCTGGGTCCATGCTTTGGTGGTGACCAGCACCTGATTGTGCACCTGTTTACATCCCTCATGAAGTGTGTGCTGGGATGTGTTCAAGGCCCCCACCTGTGAGTCAGGAGAGCTCCACCCCGGAGTCAGTGTGGAGGCCAGGGCAGCAGGGAGCTGCGGGTTTGTGAACCATATTGAGAGGATTGGCATGTTATTGCTGTTGTCTGGAGGAACCAGACAGTGGCCCTAAAGATTGAGGCCGGAGCAGCAGTGCTGCGAGAGAGACTTGTTAAAAGACTGGGACACCTTGAGTGTACGTGACAACTCGAGGATTGGTGAGCCCCTATCTGTTATGCTACAGCAAGCTATTTATGTTGGATTTCGTGTTATCTATCGTTTTGAAAGCAAATAAACTGCATTGTACTTGCACCTCCGGTCTTCAGTGGAGTGTCCTTGGTACACACTTTTGCAGTGTATTTTGGTAGCAAAAAGGGTGGAGCAGATGCTCTGTAGATGACTGTTTTACTTTAGTTTTACCATATAATGATTACACATATAAGGAATATCTTTGCCACCTGCATACTTTTTTTTACATTTAGGAGTAATCATTAATGTAATATCAACATTTTTGTTTTTCAACAGAATGAAGATATGAAATATTAAGTTGCTGTATATCTACATCTGTCAATCATCAGACAACCTAAAATCTGTTCTGATATTAAATTTGTAGAACTTTTACTAAAGAACCACAAAGAACAATGGAGAACTTTTCTGCAATGGCACTGATCTACTGCACTGAGGACGTTTATTAGCTGGCATCCACTTCTGATTTTCAAGACAAGGCTGTGACATGCTTTTTACCCTGATAGGGCCCACAGAAAGACACTGACATGCATCTGAAAATAATGTCTCTAAAGGTCGGTGCAGACCTGAGCGGTCCTGGACGCTTGTCCCGGGGATCGTGCAGTTATGCGCAATTGCAGACAGCAATTGCCGCGCGGCCCCATTGATCTGAATGGGGTTCTTCTATGCAGCAATCGCAGAAAACAGGTACTTTTTTTCCACCGGCAGAATCACGGCGGGAAAACATACGATCCACCCGGTGCGACTGGGGTGCCATTATTATTATAATACATATTTATATAGCGCCAACAGTTTGCGCAGCGCTTTACAATCGTCGGTGATGGGCGACTCTGTGACCATGTGGCTATTCGCGCAGTATCGTGCACGATTGCCACGCAGTCACGGATGGCACAGGTGTGCACCGGCCCCGAGTGTGTGGAGGACAGCAGCAGTGAAGAAGTTAAGTCATGAGAGAGCCAGCTACTAGCAATGGGTATGCTGCTGACAACTTGTTACTATGTAAAAGCATACCTACAGTAGAAGGGTTCATAAGCAGTAATTTTGGTCCAATTGGTTAGAGGACTCCCAGGGTGTTATAAAAAACAAAACAGAATCTCTCTGCAGGTACCATAAAGTGCCTTCATTATAATTAAAAAGGCAATTAGGAAATATGACACTGCAAGCATACTTAACCAAAGTGAAAATGCTATTGCACCTATCTGATTTATATTCTGACTGAAAAGAGGATATATGAATGGAAGATCGGAGAGTCTACCATGAACAATGTTAGCCATGGTTAGATCTCCTGCATGGCAATCTAGAGCCTTGGTCCTCAACTGGTGGGTCATGGCCCAAAGTGGATCGCGACCCCGTGTTCAGTGGGTTGCCGCGTGCCTTGCACTTTTCTAGGTGAGAGGCTCCCCAGCCTCCCCCTAGCGCAGCACTGTCAGTTCTCGTGCCGAGCAGCCACTCAAAATATGCTGCCCGGCACCGAGTGTCAGCTTAAGGTGGGGTTGGCTAGGGTTATGGCCATGAGGGAGTTCCAGACATAAGTGCATTGCTTACAGCTCCCTTGCGTGTCCGGTAGAGGTGCCTGGACCAGAGTGATGCAACATTCTGGCTCTTGGCACCTCTACAGAGCGCGCAAGGGAGCTGTACAAGCAATGCACATATGGATGGAGCTCCACCACAGCACAGCAGCCCACACTGGACCCCAGGCTGAGGATCCACTCCAGTTCTCTTAAGGTAGGTAGACTGGGTGGATTTTAAAAACAATTACAATATTTTTGGAGTGTGTAAGTGTGTGAAAATAACTGAGTGTGTGAGATTGTGTCTGTGGTTGTGTGTGTCTGTCAGTATGTTTGGAGAAGGCAGGAGAAGGGAACAATCTAGGAGTGAGCTGAATTGGAGAATTTTTCCAAATCGGCTATTTTGTCCTAGATTGTTCACTTCTCCTGACTTCTACCAACTCTTCACCCTTTTGTGAATAGACCTGTAAAACAAAACAAAAAATGAGTTTAGACTGACGTTACGGAATGTTCACAGTCAATTAAATTTTATATACTTTGCTTATAAATATTCTTTTCAGATTCAAATTAAATCTTTCTCTACTCACTTTTTCTACATATTATGCTGGGTTTTATTCTCATCTCAAGTCCCCACATCCACCTGAACAAAAGTTCTGGAGGCAGTTCATTATTACTGAACTACCACATACAGCACAACGCTAAAATGTGAAGTGCCGATATAGGATACAGTGAGAAACCTCCAGAAAATCTACTAGAAAACCTTTCAAATCGCTCAAATGTGAACCAGTAAAGCAGGAACTCTAGAAACTCTCAGCATATCTTCACTAAAAGAATACTCATGCGCGTTGTCAGCTAGAGGACTTTTCAACATCACAAAGGCCTTAGCGCAATCCAAACCCAACTCTTATTTACTTAACTTTTCATCACCAAAAAAAGTTTACTTACACTCAAATTTTCACATAGATTTATTTCTGTGTATATGATTACAGCCCATCTCAGATATTCCTTTGCTCTGTCGCAGTGTATCATTCTACACATAATAAACCGATCATGCCATTCTTAATTCCTTGTACACATATCAGTTGTCCTGCTTTGTTCAATGTTTTGTTTGTTCTGTCATATTATTGATGTAATACCACCTGGCACGTTATAATGGTATTTGTGTAAGGAGCACTGGCCTTTGCAATGTTCTAGTGATTTGTAATCAATGGCACAATGAAGTCTTTACATTTATCACTGATCACTGTACATACAAACTGTTTAAGTTAGAAAGGAGATCAAAGGCATATTAAGTCACAGATATTAACTTTTCCACAACTGAACCTGTCCCCCTTTCCTCACATTAACTGCCCAGTAGGCCAGGCACGGGGGCTGTAAAAACACAAGATCGACACTATGAACAGTAATCCTCCATATCCTTTATATTTGTAATCAAATTTTATGTATTAAATACAATAATTCACTACGCTTGGCCCCATGCACATGTTCACAGAGTATGAACGTACACTGTGTTTTGCCGTGTTCATTGTGCATCCACCTAGGGCAGTCCATTCACTTTAATGGGTTGCCCTATGCATGACAAAGGCGGCAAAGAAACAAATGCAGTTGTTCGAGCTTCTAGCTTTGGCACATTTTTTGACCATGTGTCTTTGGGCTTTGGTTTATACGGTTTTAAAAAATAATGTCACTGCAAGTGTGACTTGCGCTTTTTGCATGCGCACACATGCCATTGTGTGAATGGGGTCTTAGACTAGCACATGTTTACAGTAAAGGCTTTTGTAGAATGAATGTGACATTTGGAGGGTTATAAATGGGTTAAATAGTACAGTAAGTACCACTCCCCACTAAAGTGCACCTGTGCCCAGACTCTGGATATTAATGTTTTTATATGTTCTTATCAAGCAGTAAAAGAGCTTTAAAACTTCTGACCTCTCTAGCTGCATGTGCTTTGAAGTAATTTTTCCCCAAGACCACAACAGAGACTAGTCAGTTTTTAGTCAGTTTGTAACAGCTTACAAACACCTGCTGTGTGCTTACATTA